TTCTTTTAAGGTGCTTATGATTCTCAAAATATATGTTGGGGGCAAACCAGTGATATTTTGGTCATGTCAAGAACCGGAAATACACAAGGTACTTTTTGTATTTTAAATAGTTCCCTACATTTGACTATTAAGTACTTATTTTATGGCTATATGCATTGGATTTCCAAAACCCAATGTTCTTGGCTTGGCCCATCAGCTGCTATGCTCAGTAAGATGCTAAAATCAGCAGAGGCCATTAAATGTGCTAAAGCTAAAAATTTCTGGCGGGAGGTGCTGGGAGGGAAAAAGCATTCACAGTTGAATATAACGATCACCATACAGTGGATCCTTGGAACATGAAAATGCATATTGACACACTTTATTTTTTAGTAGTTCTTTTAATTTTAGTAATTATTGCAGTGACAGAATAAAATTTTAGTGATGGCTTAATCTAGAATAGGCTCTTAGCATGCCTGCAGAACAGGTGCCAAATTTAATACTAATTGATAGATTGATGGTGACTTTGGGGGAGGAGAGGCAAAAGGGCAGGGAGACAAGTTCATGAAAAGGAGGAACAGCTTGAAATCATGTTATTTAACCATCCTTTGTGTATTTTGCCCAGAAAATTTTAAACTTTCATTAAGCTATTCTTTAGTGCACAAAAGAAATAGCAGTTTTCTGATGCTTCCTAGTAAAATCTTAGTAAATAGCAAAGTGATTAATAAAATTTATACCTTTAAACATGTAAACGCAGCAACTCTGAATTTTTATAATCTCACCGAAGAGGAAAATGTGTCGTATGCTTAACTTATCCCCAAATAGGATATCTACAGTACACAGTGATTAAAAAAAAAAAACAGATGATTGCAAATGAACGTGTGTGTCCTGTTCTACAAAGCACAGTATATTCAATGGCCCTATTGCATAAAGTTATCATTTCCATTTGTAGAAGGATGAAATTGGCTGTCAGACACCAGGGCAGTAAGCCGTGCCAGAGAGGTTCACGCCATTCTTGCCTGAAATCATATTACAAAAGATGGAAATCTGATATGTATCCATTCAGTTGTTAACTGTATCCCATGCTCCCCATTTCACTACTTTTTCCTCTTAAGAGCCCTTGGAATTCCCTGGATCATGTAATTCCAAGCTAAGCAGAAGGGATAAAGTCTGGAGGAGAAGGAAAGCACAGTTAAAGAAGAATCTAGAAGAGTCTTCTTACCAAAATTCTGAGAGCTTAGCCTGCAAATGTAGTTGTGAGAATGGGTCAAGGCTCTAGCAGGGAGACATTTCCTGGTTTTCTCACATTTTCTTCTCCAGAAGTCAACTGCAGTTTCTCAGACTAGGTGCATGTTATTACATCATCAATGAAGGCAATTAAACTCATGTGAGTTCCCTCCCCTCACTTCACTGTCCCCTATAGCTAATGACCGGGGACCTCATAAATGCCATCAAATTTAAGTATTGGTCTTCCCCAATTTTAGAGTGAGTTCTCAATTTGCTTTTTCAAGAGGGGTGTATCTAGGGAAAGATTATGCTTGTTTCCTTCATAGTTTATTCTTATCAAATGCAGCTGGGAGGCTTTTGAAAAGATAAACTGCTAGTCTGAAAAAATAAGTCTAACACTATGTTGTTAGACTGGAATGTACTGGAAAAAGTATAGCAATACAATTATTAAGAAATAGATTGTTGTGTCCAAACCATATCAACATGTATACCTAAAAAATTACTTTAAACAACAAAAAAGCCGTAAATGCTACTGAAATCCATTTTTAGTGGGTTGTTTTCTAAACCAATTATCTGTCAAACGTGTCCCTGGTTCAATGGCTATAGGAACACCAGGTGTTGTTTAAAAGTTGAGATTCCAGTGCCCTACCCACATATGCTGAGCCAGAATCTCTGAACGTGGAGTTCTGGAGTATACCTTTAGCAAGCTTCTCAGAGGGTTCTTATTCTGTGCTAAAAAAAGGGGAAAGAAGGAGGGAAGGAAGGAAGGAAGGAAGGAAGGAAGGAAGGAAGGAAGGAAGGAAGGAAGAAAGGAAGGAAGGAAGGAAGGAAGGAAGGAAGGAAGGAAGGAAGGAAGGAAGGAAGAAGAAGGAAAGAAAGGAAGATACTCATATCCTAAAAAAATTGTAAGGAAGAATATAGCTAACTTCTTGGATTCTTCTAGAACCTGACCAAGATGGGCCACACAGTTCGGTCTTTGTTCACATAGATAGAAATAAGGGTCAGTTAAAACTCTTTCCCACTGTCCTTGCTGGATGGGTGTTTTGTCTATTTAAAGTCAAAGTGAAGTCAGTACAAGGTTCATTTCTTCTCCAGACCAATTCAGACTGTGGGGTTCAAGTTGACTTTGAGCAAAGCCTTGCTAAGCTCTTTCTTACCAATGTATCTGGACAATTTTCACCCATCCATTTATCCATCATTCCTTCTATACACTATGGTTCTCCTCCCATGTGGTGGATCTTCATAAACTTAGAGATCTTCATGAACTCAACCAGTCCTGTCAAAAGTTAGCTTCTATGAGGCGCAAAATAAATCGGGCACATAGAAGCAGAATAAAAACTTAGATTTTAACTGTTATTCTGACTTTACCAAAATGTTTTCCTTTCACAAGTTACTTTAAACTAAAATTAAAATAGATAACATAAAAAAGGCCAGCATAGTCACGGAAGATGTCTGCGATAATTCTAAAACAAGAAAGCAGTATTATCGCAAGTATAATTTTAACATGTGCATAAGGTGGCCCTATATGTTTAATCTCAGGCTTTCTCTTCAACGGACTAGATGTTCTCTTTTGTGGTTTATTATAAAATGCATTTATTCATGGAAATGAATATGCTATGGAACCCATAAAAGCACACACACTGCTTTTTAAAAAAATACAGTGATCCCTTTGAACACTTAAAAGCTGTTTTTAAAAGCTCAGCATTCTTGTCCCTATGATTTCACCTTCTAGAATATAAATTTCATGATATGACACGCAAAGTTATAAATCAAAGATACTATAAGAAGATGTAGGCATGCATAATATCCTTGCTTTCACCAAGACCAGGTATTTGCTTAACTTTAAAAGTTAAATGCAGTGGAAGCCTCTGCTATAGATTTTGGAAATGTTTTTAGTAATTCCCAGTGAATTCTAAGACAATTCCTCTATTCAGATGTCACTCCTCCATTCACTGCTATGAGGCCGTCTACACCTACCAGCTTGGGGTCACCATGGTTAGATTCTTTGCTCTAGTCATTATTAAGTGTTTAACAGACTTTAAAAAGATTTCCATTCACAATTCTGAGCGTCTTTTAAACTACTGAGCTCATGCCTAAATTTTTTATGTTTCCCGCTCAAGTGCAGTATTGTGTTGCCGAAACCTACACACAGGGCTGTCTGCGTAACTCAAACCTTGTTCAGAATTAAAATCAAGATGGTGATAGGAGAACATTAAACCGAGTGTGATCTTTCTAGGATGGAGCTCTGTGCGACTGGCCAGGCTGCACACCCACGAAGCTGGTTCTTCCTGCAGAACCTTTTGAAAGAGACCACTCTGGTTTTTAAAAAATTCATTGGGAAACACACTAGCCAGTGAATCCCATTTGGCCTTGCTGACTTAACCGTGTGAAGAAATATACACAGAAGATGATGTACTTGAAAAAGAATCATAGGTGTAACGGGATGACGGTAGATGGTTGTCATTATAATTTAACAGGAAGAGCTCAGAATCACAGAGTGGAAAATGTGTGGAAAAATGGGGGTGGGGAAAGGTTGGAAATTGGGGAAAGAGCCTAAGCTCTATGGGGAGAGGAATCCCACTCTGATGAATCTTTCGGCAGGTCGGGTGCATCTGCGCACTCGCTGTCCTTGGTTGTGTGCTTATGGAGGTGCCAGGTTTTGGAACCCGTAAGTCCCATTGTGTAGGAGAATGTGGGGAGGTCCGAGCACCAGCGTATCAGTCAGGTGGTCTGCACCTGAGTATGCGTGTGCCTATGGGTCTCTTTGACAAAGCTGCGTTATAGGCCAAGCGCAGCCTTCAAGATCACATCCCAGCTCTCCCTAGGGCGCCCGGCCTCCTTGCTCTCACTTCCCAGTGGAACTCAGGGCAGCATGAACCTTGTAACAGGTGCTGTATTATAAATGCTGCCGTCGCTCTTTACGGGGCACGGCCCTCTCGGGGGACTGAGAGCACGTGTGGCCAAAGAGCCTGGGAAAAGACTGCAAGAGACGGTGAGGCTGAATCAAGAGTCTTGGGGGCCACATTCAAGGGCAAGAGTTTGGGAAAGATTTCTGTTCTGAGGCACTCACCTTGGGAGAGAGGAGTGCTTACCAGAAAAACAGACACCCGAGGAAGCAAGTAGGGTGTGTCTGTTTAACAAACGGCACTTGCTATGTACTCAGATCGGTTTCCAGGTAATAATTAGGAAAGAAGGGAGGAAGAAGAAAGGAAGAAATGCGGGGGGCGGGGGGTAGGGGGGAGGAAAATGTCAGTCAAGGGTCCTTGCCTGGCTTCTGACTCCTCTTACATCCGTTATCAGTTGTTACTTGGGAATAAAAGGAAATTCAAATATGTGAAAGTAGGAGCGAAGCTTGGACCCGGGGCAGAACCTGGAGAGGAAGCCTACAACTTCGAGGCGCTGCGTCCTTCCTTAGGCAGGTGGGACGCCCTTGGGGGTCCCGAGGCCCTCCTTTCCAAGAGGGCACCTGCATCCCAGGCCCGGGCTCGCACACACCTGACGTTCAGCTGGATGGCGGTGGGGGGTAGGGTGGGGTGGGGAGAATGCGGACTGTGGGGGAGCCTGCGTGGGAGACCGACCCCCCAGAGTGGGGCGCACCGGGCAGACCCGGCCGGCGCCGCCCGGCCTTTGAGCGCGGGGGCTCGCTGCCCCTTAGACCTGCCCACGGCCCTCCGCCCGGCCCCCCTGTCACTCACTTTCCTCGCAGCCAATGGCGCGGCCGCCTGTCACCCTCACCCCACCCCTCGAGGCAGAGCAGGGAGGAGGTTGGCGGGGAGGGCGCGGGGCTGGAGTTGAATGATTGAACTTTGCAGCCGAGTTGCGGCGGCCGCGAGGTTCCCGGCAGTGCGGCCCCGGCGCGGAGCTGGGAGCCTCGGCCAGCGCCCGGCGCCCGCGCCCCCGACCCGCAGCCATGGTGCCCGGGGCGCCCGGCGCGGCCCTGACCCTCTGCCTCTGGCTGGCGGCCTCCGGGGGCTGCCTGGCCGGCGGCCCCGGCGCCGCGGTTGCTCGGCGGCTGGACGAGTCCCTGTCGGCCGCGAGCGTCCAGCGCGCCCGCTGCTCCTCCAGGTGCCTCAGCTTGCAGATCACGCGCATCTCCGCCTTCTTCCAGCATTTCCAGGTACGGGCACCGCCGCTGCCGACCGTGGCGCGGGGCGCACGCGGCGCCTGCCTCCCGGCCTCGGCGCCCCAACTTCTCGCCGGGCTCGGCCGGCAGGTCCCGCTTTCCTTCGGCGTGGATCTCACGGGCGAGGTGGTCGAACCCTCCTTTCCAGCCTCCTCCTTGCCCCCGAAAGGAACAAGAAACCTGCAGCATCTTCCCCCAACTCGTGACCATTGGTTAGTTAGTTTCCCAGTCGGTCGTGTGTTCCGGAATGTGTGTGTTGGGGAGGCGGGGGGCGGTAGCTGTGCGCTCCCCAGTTCGGGGCCCCGGAGCTTCTAGGTCTAGTCAGCGGATAGTGTGGAGAGTGAGGGAAGAGACTCAGGGGGTACGGGACTTGGAGGACCGCGTTTGGATGCTCGGAGGGGAGTCCTGGGGGCAGTGTGTCCCCCAGCCCTCGTAGGTCCTTCCAGCTGGAGTGTGGAAGAACGTGTGTGTGAATGACTGTGAATGGTGGGGGTTCAGGGGGACGCACGCTTGTTGCCTGTGGACTGCCGGGACCCTTGCTGTTGGGGCGGGGGAGCAACAGCGCTGAGGGTCCCCGCAGGTCGCGCGTGGCAACCCGGGATGCTGGGGGCGCGTTTGCGCCGCTTGCGGACCCTGCGGGGGCGCGTCGGGTTGCCTTTCCCAGCCGATCCGAGTGCGCGCAGTCCGAAATCATTCACGCAGACGCCTTATTTCTCTCGAGGGCCCTCGTTCTCCCCTTGGCCTTCTCGCCTCTATCCTTAGCGGCTCACCTGTTCCAAGACTCTCAAGTTCCTTCTTGCCGCAGGGAGGACTGCGGAGGCCAGAGGGAGACTCGGGACTCTTTGGCAGGTTTTTGATCTTAGGAAATAAACTGGGCGCCCCTCCCGCCTGGTCAGGGTAAAGGCAGCTTTCCAAGGGGCCCTGGGTTTTCAGCTGTGAAAGCAGGTGATTGTAATGACGGTGGAGTTGGGGACGTATCTCTGTAGCCTTACGGGTGTGCGTCCTGGCCTGAGAGCTAATGAAAGCTGGCGCCCAATGGCACAAGGACTCACGGTCGGGATCTTCGGAGATTGCACTAGCTCGCGAAGTTTGCGTGTGCGGGAGTGCGCGTTCTTAAGGAGGCAACCCGTCGTGGGTTTCCGAGAAGCTGGCACACTCTGCGTCCCTCCTGATTGTTTAGGGAAGGGGAAACCCGAGTGCTCGCGTCCTGCGCTGAAATTACGCGGACATCCTGGGGGATGTCCCAGCCACCTGGTTTCAAACCCACCCTGCCCTGCCCTGCGCTGTCAGTCCCTCTCCTGAGAAGATGCTCCACTGTTGTTTCATCAACAGAAAACAAAACAGAGGGACCCATTCCTGGCGAGAAAGAGTAACACTTCTCTTTCTTTCTTTCCTTTCCTTTCCTTCCTTCCTTCTTTCTTTTCTTTCTTCCTTCTTCTTTCTCTTGTTCTTTTTCTTTCTTTCTCTTTCTTATTGAATTGTCAGTTGCTGTAATTTATTTGTTTAGCAGTTTAAGCGGCTAAAGAAGCAGTTTAGATCAAGCCAATTCCCGTGAAAGGCTTTTCTTGTGGTCTCCTGGCATGATTTCTCTTCAGAAGAAAAACTGCTGACAGAATACACATTGCCACACAATCCTGATTACATTTTAATTAGCTGGGCTGGAATAAGCTGCAAATTACTGTTAGGACTTAATAACTGCTGTTTCTGCCATCAGCTGCCAAGCCATTCGTGGTGGGTTAACCCTAACCTGGTAATGCCTATCTGATTTACCTAAATTGCAGGGATTATGCTTTCTTAAGATTTGAAAAGGCAGCAACACTCTCCCTATGAACCCTCGAGCTTCCCTGTCCCTCCCCCTTGTTAAATAATTGGGAGATGACGGAGGAGTCAAGGCTCCTTACGGGGCACGTGGAATTTATTAACAGGCAGGAGAGGCGGGGCTCGCCCAAGCTTGTGCATGAGCCCCTTCTCTCAGGGTCACCCCACCCACTTGTGCAAAGAAGCCCCAGCAGAAGGCTGTTTCTTGAGCAGGTGGCCATTTTCAACTTCTCTCATACAGTTCTAGGCATCTTTTTCAGGATGGAAGAAGGCTTGTCTCCACCGTTGAGGCCAGCCAAGCGTGTGGACTCTTAGAGGTGACGCTGCCAGGGCTCGGCTATGGACACCCCAACCTATGCGCTCACGGTGTGGACAGAGACTCGGAGCTGCGGGGGGCAGTGCCCTGGAGTGGCAGGCCTGCAGGGGAGGCTGGAGTCTAATGGTCTCTAACCCTAATTGCACACGCTTTCCAGCCGCCCAGCCCTGCAGGAGCGAGGCCGTAGGGCTGCAGGTAGATGGTGCTCACCTGGTGTCTTTGCTTCGGCCATGCAGGTGGGCTTCAGCTGTCCGCCCTGCAGCCCTCAAGCAGCCTGAACGCCCAAGCGATTCAGTACTGATGCATGGGGAGGGGAATGGTGACGGGGGGATTCCTGAATTATCTGGCACAGCCCCTGACATGGAAGAGTTCAGAATTTCATACTGAAAGGGAGACGGATGGCTGAACTGCATCACATCCCTAACTAAATGCTGGCCGCATTCATGAAAAGAAACAGTGCAAGTTAACACCTCGCAGGATATCCATTCCCAGCTCCATGTGCCAGGCATTGGGCATGTTGTCACTTCAAGTTTGCACATACCATATGCACAACGTCCTTAAAATCCCACTAACAGAGGTGGTTGGGAAGGACCTCCTCTGTCCATGAAGTGAACAGGAGATCTGGGCTGTGGGGTCTGGAGCAGGGACGTGAGCTTTGGAACGAGGTAGATCTGCTCTGCATCAGCCTTGCCACTTTGCAGATGGGTTGCTTGGGCATATCACCTTCCTGAACTTCCAGCCTCTCGTGTGTCCCGTGGGAGATAAGTACCTGCCCAGCAAGGTGGAGATCCTAGCACATGTTGGGGATACTGAAAGTGACGGTGGCGACGGAGCTAACACTAATGGGAAGATTAGTGAGTACCAGCCTCTGTTCTAGGTGTCCTACAAGTCCAAGTTCATTTAATCCCCACAGCAGCCATATAAGGAAAGTACCATTTGTTCCCTAACTGATAAGCAAACAGAGGTGCTGAGAAGGTAGGTTACTCACGCAGCAATAGACAGTGGAGCTGGGTTCCAAATGCGGGTGGCTATCAGTTTTAGGTTTTGTTCTTCTTTTTAGGATTTTATTGGTTAATTGGTTAATTTACTTCAAGAATGACTACCTAATTTTCGGGACTCAGTGCAAAATGAAGATGTGTGGTCCAGTATTTCAAATAGCAAGAAAAGAGGGTGTTGTTAAAGGAACTAAAATATAAAACGCTTTTTTCCTTCCTCTGTGGCTCTTGCGATTTGTCATCGTGTTTCAAATGTGCTATTCGGTGCTGTTCTCTGTAAAGAAAAATTTAAAAATTAAGTGATTAGTATGGATTTTATTCTTCATCTTTCTATTATTCAGTGCCAGCGTTAACGGGCAAACATCAGAGCATTTAACTTGTATGCAGAATCACCGGCATTTCACAGTTTCTATTTCCTGGCCTGGAGCGTGCTTTGAGATAGCTGGAGGGACAAGCGAGACTCAGGAAGGTGAGAAGAGGGAAGAGAGAGTCCCCCCCCCCCCCCCCGCCAGGGTGCACACCGTGTGGCGTGCCCAGTCCCACAAGAAGATCTTGCAGGATGTTAATAGACCTTCATGGGAACCTGCCACCTGCCAGATGCATACATGCTTGCTCACACATAACACGTGCTTGGTACCCTCTTCTGCAAGCTTCTAGACCCATGCCTTGCACTTTGTTCTAGATGTTGTCCTCAAGAAGTCAAGCCAGGGATCTCCCACTCCTCCTGTTCAGATGACAGCAAATGGGCAACCCCCAAGTCCACTGCAGCCCCCACTGCAACACTCCTCACTTGATGCTTTTAGAAATGACTCGTCCAAGCACATACAGATGGTAGATAGAAGCAGAGAAAGAACCAGCTTTCAGAACTCTCAGCGCAGCCATCATACAAGTAGATACCTGCTCCAGGGATGGGTTTCATCCCTGGGAGTCTGGGACTCTGGCTGCCCACCCACCAAACACAGGGTGGTGCTTCCCGCATGAGATGAGGACAGCCATCACTTTGTCCTGGAACCCTTTGCCTCAGGCATGCATCAAACCCTCCTTGGACCCTTGTCCAGGTCCCTGCAGGGGCCGGAGTGTGACAGTCATTTTAGGGCATGGAGTGGGGAAGGAGAGGCTGGGTGAAGACTGGGGTGCCAGGGACAAGGGAGTGGGGAGCCGAGAACCTTTCCTGGGGAGGTGAAGGAGCAGTGCGAGGCAGGATCATGCGAGATCCGAGGCTCCAAGCCTCCAGAGCAAGCTCTGGTATTCCATCAGACTGCCCATGTGAAACACCAACTTAGGATACAATCATTGAGATTTCAATATGGTGACCACAGGCATTGGTCCCCCTGAGCATGGACCACATGCATTGGTCGTATGTCCGTGAAGCGGCCCTGGTGTGGATTTTTGTAACTCAAGGGTGCAGAACCCTTGGGAGGGCTTAAGCCCCCTTGCCATGGGGGCTCCTCATAGGGTTTTCCACAGCGTTCAAGCTTACGATGCTGAGAAATGTTCACTTCGGAATAACCTCTACCCTTGTTTTTTTTCAGCTTTATTAGGATATCAAAGAAGAGGGAAAGGAGGGAATATTGACTGAAATAAACTCTCTCCTTCTCAGCGAATCTCATTTAACTTAAGAGTGACTCCCTCTCTTACGCTAGTTGGGATATGCCAAGGCGAGACCACCATGCAGCTCAAGGTCAGAGCCTTAAAGATAGTCAGTGCACCAAGTATTAGGAGACCTGGAACCTGCTCTTTCTAGGCCTCTGTTTTCTCCAAGGAGGCTCGAGAGAATAGGACTTGGGAACAAATCGTAGCCGAAGTACAACAGAGCCGGGGGGCGGGGGGGGGTGGAGTGCGTCTGCTGCTTTGCCGGAATTCGG